TATCGGTTTAAATCTAAAAATGTTTCAAACTTATTAACTGGACAGCTGGGTGCAAATTTAAAACTTTTGGATAAAATATTAACCTTAGTGGGTGAAAAATCTTTATTAGATAAATTAAAAATCTTTACTTCATTTCTCTTTGTCTCCTTTTTCCTGATATGATCTCTCCTTCTCTTTCCTCTTCTGGTCTTCTTTGCCTTTTCCATGGAGTTTCTCTTATAGGGGTATTTTTTCTTCTCATTCTCTGTCCTAAAAAAACTTCCTCACTGGGTTCTGTTCTTAGAGTTTCAAAGCGATTCCTCAAGGGTATCTGTGGAGAGTCTCTCTTTTAAATGGGCTCCTCCTCCTATCCCTATAGTGCATATCTTCCCTATTTTCTCGAGGTCTCATCCTATAAAATTTGATTTGGGGGATATTCTTTTCTTTTTGTTGCGGTTGATTATTTTTATAGAGCTTCATTTATTCTCAACCCTTTGATACTGACTACTATAGGAATCCCTCCTCTGTGGATATGTCTTGTCTCTAAATGCAGGGGTTAATTTTTTCTTATCCTGTCTTTGTTGAGGATAATCCTTTTTATTTCTATTAGGTGTCACCCTAACTCTATTGTTGGCATAGTCATTAAACTTCTTTTTCTTATTTAATATTACAGAATTCTCAATTTTCTCAATTCTATGGCTGATTTTTTTCAGACAGACTTTCAAAGTCTTTAGTCCCAACAAAGGGTTCTAACTTAGTTTTTATCCCCCTAATAATTTAATCTATTTCTAACAGATTGTCCTTTTTTTCCCTTATAATAATAGTGATCATTGTAATGGAAAAGGATTCTAGGGCTGAGGCCCATATCTTGATGAAATTCTCCTTTTCACGATTAAAGGTAGGAAATTTTGTGAACCTTAACCCCCTTGGGGTGATTTCCCTTTCAAGATATTTTTCTAGATTGAAAATCTTCCATTTTATCTTTACTTCTCTTATGAGTAATTTCTCATGTTGGAACATACTTTCATCCAGGTTGTCACTTAAAACAATTTCTGATTCTATTTTATGTTCTTCCCTTCCAAATATTTTTTGTGCAAATCTGCCCCAATTTTGTCTTTGTTCAAAAATAGACATATTCCCAAGCAACCCAAACTATATGGTGACAAAAACAAGAACAAGTAGTACAAATTCACTTGTCTCTACGGAATGAATCTTTATACTAAATCAGTGTTTAAGGAACCCGGAGCAAATGAACAATGTATGTTCAGTGTTCTGCAGTAGTCTGAGATTCTGCTAAGGGGGAGGCCTAACCCAGATGATAAATGACAAAATGGAAGGCATTGGGTACCTATGAGTCCATACTGACATGCCGCTGCTGAAAACCCACAATGATCGTATTGGTTATGTACACTATGGACATCTACCATTACCTTGATGACGTAAGAATTGTTCTGGTACGTCACATATACTGTAGGATCCAATGGGCCAAGTCTATCTAAGCTTGGCGTGTGGAGTCTGTAACACATGTCAGAATAAGTTATGGTAGTATAGTATATGTCTGCTCGGTACCCTTGTATCCAGCGTACCTTTTCTGTGTTTGTGTACTGAGTGCCGTATGTATCCGAGTAACGAAACGTATGATATGTAACGTATCGTGCCCGTACCAATGGAAAGAAACACATTACGCTCGACTTTGTCTAGGTCTCTGAACCCTGTAAGCAGATCCAGAGATCGAATGACAAATACCGAGTTTAACATATACCATTGCATGTACCTCATGTAAGACTTGAGAACTAGTGTTTGATACCCAATGCACATACCAGTTATAAGCAAAACATATAAGCTACAATTTATATTTAAATATGCAGGGGTATGATGTTACTTGTAGGCTAAGTGCAGCATGGCCACCAGGTGGCGTAGTGCTGTGCACCATCCTGAGTTTTATATATATATGTGTGTGTATATATATCTCATCCTGTATACTACCTGCATACCCTATATGAAACCAGCCACATATTGTTATTCTTATTTTATAACCAGCCACATATTTATAATTTTTATTTATAACCAGTCACATATGTAATATTCTAATCGACCACATATTTATTCTTTTATAAACAAGCCACATATTATTTTTTAATTCAACTTTGACTGCCTGAGCATGGTGTTAGTTTAACTGACGTTTTAGTGTACAGCCTGCTTTGCGGTTGCAGTGCTGTATTTGAACGTGCTTTCCCACCGACAGCAGAACTGCGCCTTTGGACGGGTGAGTAACCCCTTTCGTGCCCCGGTTGTTGGGGGGGGAGTTAAGAGCTTGTCGGCCGTTTGTGCCATGCCACCGTGTCCCCAATTGATAGGGGGGATGATCGTTTAATTGAAACCAGTTGTTGAGAAAACATTGCAGAAGTTGCGTTTACAGTTTATCTGGGAGTTGGGAAGGATCTCCGTGTCCCTACTGTTAGGGAAGGGGGGTTGAGGCCGGCGTGAAGGTTTCCTGGGTTCCTAATATTGGGGGAGGGGGTTTGGGAGCCGGAAAAGCCGTTGTGAAGGCCCTCTTTATGGGGACATTAACACGGTGAAAACAACAAATCGGACATACTAAACATCTGGGGAAGCCGGCTGATGGCAAATAACCGAGACCCCGGCAGGTAGAAACATCATGCCGTTTAAGTGAGACACAGACGGTGAATGTCTGTACCCGACTGTATTCACTGTTGATCTGCCACCCGGTGACAAGGTGAAACCGTGCTGGGGTACCTTAGACCTCTGTGACCTGGGTCTGTGGGGTGCCAGAGAGGTCAGAGCTGCTGCAGGGAAACTGCTGGGGTCAAGGGTAGCCCCCCCCCCAACCCGGGATCGCCGGTTCAGGTAAGTATATGGGTAATTTTTGCCGCGGACGCACCAGGTACGTCCGAGGTCGTTAACAACCGTTTTATGTTGGACGTACCTGGAACATCCGCGGTTGGGAAAGGGTTCATTATTTTTTATTTACATTTTTATTTCTATTTTAATTAGTTACCATTTATTTTATAATTTCTATTTTTATTTAGAAATTTTTATATCTTTTTTATTTATTTTTAATTTTTATTTCTAACTTTATATGCTTTATTTTTTATCTCTATTTGATATATTTATTGCTTTTTATTCTTATTTTATCTTTTTACCTATTTTTACTCATTTTCTATTCAATTCTTTATTTTCATTATTAATTTAATTTTTTATTATTTTTAGATCTTAATTTATTTTTATATCTTTATTTAATTAAATTTTTTTTCATTATTACTCCAATTTTCATCCACCAATTTGTACTTTTATTCTTATTTATATTTTTTAGTATATTTCCAATTTTTAGCTTAATTATATTCATCCCATTCACAACTAAAGACTTTTCTCTATATTCGATTTTTCTCAATAATCTGTTTTTATTGTATGTAATAAATATCTTTTTTCCTCTACCTCCCACCTCTCCATATTCCCTCATCCAAGATGGCATCATGATCTACGCCTCATTATTAAAAACTGGACTTCTGACAACCCTTTATATAATATCTTTGGACTGTACTTTTCTAATTGACAGTTAATGTAAGTACAAATTTAATTAAAATAGCATTTTTTTTAAATAAACTGTGGCGCAACCTAACTGTAGGAAATGAGCTCTTCTTGAGATGTTTGTTTGTCACACACCAGTGTTCTAAAAAATTTAATCAGAGTATCTTGCAGCTAAAAACTTATATTTATTCAAACATACACATCATCCGGTAATAACATACATCAATGCAAAACGTCTTTGACCAATACAGAGCAATGTTCAAGATGGTATCCATTTTTGTTAGAAGGTATTGGTAAAATTCCCTAGCTACAATTGGTTTTGTAGGTTTAAAATTCAGTTATATAGGGGCGTATATATAAGGTTGCCTTACTTTAAAATAAGTGGTTATCTTAGAAAAAGGGTAACGACTTAGCATCATTTGAAATCTATGATTAAAGCCATACGTTATATTTAGGCGGTAAAATAAAAGTTACACAAAAGAAGTTCTATATACATGGTTAAATGAATAAATGCCTTTAGAAATGTAAGCCTTGGTAATAAAAAGGGAGCCTAGCTTGCAAAGCTTAAATTCAAAGGTTACTATCAACAGGCCTTCTTCAATCTATCTTAACATGAACCATATGTGGTGACTAGTGATGTCGCGAACTTGCCTTCAACATGGATGCTGTCCAGGAAGTAGGAGGGTCTGGGAGGGAGGGTCTGCCGGAGATTGGCAAGAATGTGTCAGCTGACCAGAGTTCGCCACGAACGGTTCGTGGTGAACCGTGGCGAACCGTTCGCGGCAAGTTCGCGACATCACTAGTGGTGACCATCCATATACAATGAAAGTCTGTAAAACTAGTTACATCCTGTGTCCGAAAGAAGTTTGAATAAAGACGTTATAATATTTATATCACAAAAACAAGATTGTACAGCACATCTGATAATTTAAAGTTCATTAAATATTTTTCACTAACAACTGTTTTATTGTACTACTACTTCTCATCTGATGGTAAGTGATTTTGTTTCCATGCATTAGTTTTATTGTCATCACTCACTATTATTGGGGTGAGAAGGGTAGGTAGGGTAGTTTGATTAAAATGGGGTGTGGATTGGGGCTGAGAACAGTAGACAACTGGGAAGTGGTGTTAAGGGAAAAAAAATTGGAGGTTGACAATAGCATGTCCATAGGTGACCAAATGTCTAAAGAGCCTAAAAAAAATAAATCAAATCAAAAATGTAATCTGTGTGTGCTGAGTATATATAATGTGTGTATGTGGTGTATGGTGTGCGCTGGCTGAATGTAATGTGTGTCTGTGATCTGCGCTTGCTGTATTTATTTTTGTGTGTGTGTGTGTGTGCACGTGCTGGCTGTATGTACTGTGTGTGGTTTGTGCTAGCTTCCAAGGTGGCTATGCCCGACCCAGTTATCCAAATCACTAAACAGAGAGTGGCATAAAGGCATGTAATTTAGGTCATGAAGCTTGTTAGGGTCAGCCTCTTTAGTGATCCCAAGATATTTGAAGGATTCCATCGTGAATCTAATGGGATAGGATGACATAATGAGTGCAGTGTCCACAGCCAAATGGTTGAGAGGCATAGCCGAGGATTTTTTTAAATGAACCTTATACCCAGAGAGCTCCCGAAGGTCTCAAGAGCCAAAGTCAAACGATGAATGGAGGGGAGCGCAATAGTTATAATTAATATCGGGCAAGGTAATTGAAAATAGCTGGGGTGAAAGAGAGCATTACTGACTAGTGCCATTACTAATTGAGAATGGCCTAGGTTTTAAACCCGAAATTTGTGTTTGGGCTTGTATGTTAGTGTAAAGGGCTTGTCAATTGGTTGAGCAAGCATTCCAATATTTTGTCAAAATTAATGAAACAGGGTCTATAACTGGTCACTTGGGTTTCGTCACGTCCCTGTTTTGGTATTAGGACTATGTTGGCCAAGCTCATGTTAAGGCTCGGGTTCCCCCCTTTCATAAAATCAATAAAATGGACCTCAAGGAAGGGCACTAGTTCCTCTTGGAAAGACTTGTGGTGAATGCTGTCAAAGCAATTTGCACCTGGAGCTTTACATTCTTTAACCCCTTAACGCCGTTACGGCGTTCTATGCCGTTGCGGCTTTAAAGCCGTTGCGGCGGCATAGAACGCCGTAACGGCTTTGAGCCCCAGGGGATCGCAGCTACTTACCTCCGCTGCGATCCTCTTCTGGAGGGCTGCATGACAGCCCAGTCAGCCCTCCCCTGGCGAATGAGGCCCCCGGGGGTCATGTGATCGCTCTCAAAGAGCGATCACATGGCCCCCTATAGCTGGCTGTGGATCTGCCAGCAGGGGGACTGTCTAAAATATCAGAAAGTCCCCCTGCTGGTAGGTAGTGTAAAAAAAAAAAAATAGACATGTTTAAAATTAAATTAAAAGTATTTTTATATATATAATATATGTATATATATTACATATATAATATATATACATATTCTATATATGTAACGTCATACGTAATGTATTTTAATACTATTAGTATATATATATATATATTAGAATTAAAATACACTTAGAATGACGTGACATATATAATATGTATATATTATATATATATATATATAATAGATATATACACATATATTATATATATACGTATAATTACAATAATAAATAAAATAATAAAATAAATAAAATATTGAAACAAAATTTAATATAAATTATATATTCATATGTAATTTCATTCTAATTGTATTTTGTTATTAATATATATTGGTAACAAAATACACTTAGAATGACATTCTATATTTATCTATCTATATATAAAATACAAATAACCGCATATATATATATATATCTATAGATAAATACATATAATTACATAAAAGATTACATTAGTATACACGTAGAATTTAAATACCTATAAATGCATATATATTAAAATTCTACGTGTATATTTAAGTAATCTTTTAACATAATTATGTGATTTGATTAATTACAATTTAATTGACATGCCTGACAACACAGGGAGAAAGTGTAGAGAATTGAATTCGCAAGCACTATATTTGACCCTGTAACTCTCCAAGACACCATAAAACCTGTACATAGGGGGTACTGTTTTACTCGGGAGACTTCGCTGAACTCAAATATTAGTGTTTCAAACTGGTAAATTGTATTACAACGATGATATTTTAAGTAAAAGTGACGTTTTTTGCATTTTTTACAAACAAACGGCACTTTTATGGACTGTATTATTGTTGTAATATGTTTTACTGTTTTAAAACACTAATATTTGTGTTTAGTGAAGTCTCCCAAGAATAGCAATACCCCCCATGTACTGGTTTTATTGTGTTTTGGAAAGTTAGAGAGTCACATATAAGGCTTGCATTTAATTTTTTTGACATTGAAATTTGCCAGATTGGTTATGTTGCCTTTGAGAGCGTATGGTAGCCCAGGAATAAGAATTACCCTCATGATGGCATACCATTTGCAAAAGTAGACAACCCAAGGTACTGCAAATGGGGTATGTCCAGTCATTTCTAGTAGCCACTTAGTCACAAACACTGGCCAAATATTAGTTTTTTGCTTTTTTCACACAAAAACAAATATGAACGCTAACTTTGGCCAGTGTTTGTGACTAAGTGGCTACTAAAAAAGGCTAGACATACTCCACGTTCAATACCTTGGGTTGTCTACTTTTTCAAATGGTATTATGGGGGTAATTCTCATTCCTGGGATACCACATCGTCTCAAAGGTAACATTACTAATCTGGCAAATTTCAATGTGAAAATGGAACATTCTATATTTGACCCTGTAACTTTCCAAAACACCATAAAACCTGTTAATGGGGGGTACTGTTGTACTCGTGAGACATCGCTGATTACAAATATGGGCATTTTTTTGCAGTAATACCTAACAGTATTATGACATTAACAGCTAAAATGTCAGAAGGAAATACAAATGTAAAAAAAATCTTATTTTCTCAATTTTTTTTTATTCATAATAAATTATGTTCCATATATGAATAGTTAATGATAAATTAAAGCCCTGTTTCTCCTGAACAAAATGATATATAATAAGTGTGGGTGCCCTTAATATGACAGCGGTGAATTACGGCTGAACTGAACAGGCATATAGCGCAAATTCCAGTTTTTGTTTACGTTTTGTTTTGATCAGAACGTGTACTATTGACTCCGTCTTGAAGGGGTTAAGTACTGACATGACCTGGATCTCATCTCTTGAAAAAGGAGAGCTGAGTGTGTCAACCAGCTATGCAGTCAATAACGGCAGCTCCAAAGATTACAAATAGTACAGAATTTCCAATATATGATGTATATTTGTGTCTGTGTGGTGGGGAGGAATGGTTATAGAGAGCTGCATAGAACTTTGCAGATTTGTTGTTAATTTACTCTAGAGAGGTAACTTATTTTCCCCTTATCATCCTGAGTTAAATAATAGGATACTTTCGAGAGTCTAAATTATTACTAATAAATGTTATTTGGTTATACTTAATACTCCATGTGCATTCCTAAGAAGTGCCAACCCCCTGCCCCCCTTGGTCTTTTGAGGTACTGGTATGCATTGCCAGTAGGATCTCCTTAATATTTTAACAATCAAAATTAACTAGTCAAGTACATTAGATAGACTGATACAATTTTTAAACACCAGGAGGGCTCATACAGAGAAGGGAGAAGGAATACAGCTATTAATTCTTTATTTATTACTAGTACTGCAGAATTATTATTTTTGTATAATTTTAAATCTAGGTAAAATAGACAAATTTAAATAATAGCAAATTAGAATAATTTTTTATTTCCAAGTAAAACGGTTATTGGCATGACATGTGAAATGTATTAGCTAATTAAACACACTTTTTGGCCTACAAAGCGTGTGGGTTTCAAAATATGCTTTATTTGGGATAATGTGTTGCTATTTGGTGCAAATCACTTTAATACACTGTTTTATGAATAAATCTGGAAATGTCTAGCTCAATCACGTTAAGATTTCCTTAAATTTTGATTGCGTGAAACAAAAGTTAAATTTAATTCTCTATGAGGCATCAACTTGCTGTAAATATATTCTCTCCTTAACATGTTATGTATTCACTGTCCAGTGGTGTACCTTTATCCACATATATCTTCAGTGATGTCACACTGTCCTTATGATGTCCTTATGATGTAATTGACCAAGCCTATAACTACCCAACACAGCTCAGGTGTCAGCCAGCACATTGACTTTTTCCAGGGGAGGAAGTCATACATGCAGAATTCAATATGATGGAGTATAATGTGTTAACGATGAAGATTCACCAAATACATAATTTTGGTAAGAGGCATACTAATTTTAATTCTATGTCTAAAATTAGATAAGGTAAAATATCAAATTAGAACGATTATTCCAGCATAATTGTTTTGACCTAAAATGTGAAAATGACTTGTTAATTAAACCCCTGTTCTTTCTTGTTTACAAATCCTACATTTGTCAAAAGATGGTTTATTTTAGATACTTTAGCCTAAATTTTGCCATTTGGATTTCAGATCACCACAATGAACTGCTTTGTGAATAAACCACAAAATGGCATTTTTAAAGAATACATTCGCTTAAAAGACCACTAAATGCACCCAGATACATTCGCTTAAAAGACCACTAAATGCACCCATTTTAATCTAAATGAAATGGTGTAGGTGAAGTGGCCCTGCAGTTTTAGTGAGTGAAATTAAGTCATGTGATGTTTGACGTCCATGAAGATGTTAAACGTCACCAAATGCAGCTTATATGCTTTCAGTGCTTTCCTATGAGAAGCATTTGTTTGGATTAGATTGGATGCGCATCATGTCACTAATGCTTTTCTATGATGAGGCAGGAGGCGGAGAGGCCAGCAGCACAGAGGCTATATAAACACTGGAAATGGCGTGTAAAAACTATCTTTTGCTAAAGTGTTTTATTGCACTGGAACCCTTTGATGGAGATTCTTGCCCCTCAGGCCCCCCCTCTGAACTTCCTTATGGTGTAGTTCTCCCATGGTGTGGCCTTTGGAGGGAACCTACCTTCTGCCCATTTGGCTTAGATCAACTCTGCTCTCTCTCCTCCCCTTGAACCCTATAAGATAGCTTTGGTTCTGTCCTTGATCCCTTTCTTAAGAGTCCTCTGTTCTGAATTATGATGAATCTCTAGTTGTTCAGAGTTCATTTATTTATTTCTTGGGTATTGACATAAAACTTCAATGAAAGCTTAATTACAAAACTAATTGATTGCACAATATAAAGGTAAAAAAATATTCTATTAAAGGACCACTATAGGTTCATTAGGTCCCTCCAACCCTCAGGGCCCTCCTCCCGCTGGGTTGAAGGGGATACAACCCCTTCTCCTCCCTCTGCCGACGTCAGCGCCGAATGCACATGCGCGGCAAGAGCCACTTTCATTCAAACCGCCCATAGGAAAGCATTACTCAATGCTTTCTTATGGACATCCAGCGTCTTCTCACCGTGATTTTCACAGTGAGAATAGCAGAAGCGCCTCTAACGGCTGTCAGTAAGACAGTCACTAGAGGCTGGATTAACACTCAGTGAAACATAGCAGTTTCTCTGAAACGGCCATGTTTTCAGCTGCAGGGTTAAATCTAGAGGGACCTGGCACCCAGACCACTTAATTGAGCTGAAGTGGTCTGGGTGCCTATAGTGTGGTCCTTTAAACATCATCTTGCACTAAAGAAATTGTCTCCTTATGAACTTTCTTTGCGTGAATGATAGTGGTATCCCATTAGTCACATTTATTTT